CCCCCCCCCAGACTTTAGGGTTTGAGCCCCAGGACCTGGCCTGTGCTGTTCTCTGTCCATGGGGATGAGCCTCGTCTCCACAATCACCCAGGAGGCTCCGCTGGGCAATGTCCTGCTATTTCTGCCTCTGTCCCCAGACTATGAGCTCCCTGGGGGCAGAGACTGGAGTTCTCTGTCCCCTCACCTCTGAGCCCTGGGCAGTGGTTAGTCAGCTGTCCTGCAAGGCTAAAACTCAAGGTCAGCCCAACCCAGTTTAATAACTCCTTAGTCCAAGCCAATTCAGCTCCTCCCCTTCCCCACTCAGCCTCCCACACCTGCCCTCCTCCATCTCCCATCTGTCCCGCACCCCTCCCACCCCCGCAGGAGGCTCCACTGCCCCCGGAACTACATCCACACTCAGCTGTTCACCACCTTCATCCTCAAGGCCGGGGCCGTGATCCTAAAGGACACCACCCTCCTCCACGGCGAGAACACGGACCACTGCAGCCTCTCCACTGTAACAGCCGTGGGTGGGGGGCGCTGGGCGGGTGGGCGCAGAGGCCCGGGTAGACACCTCCAGGCGCCTGCCCCAGCCTGGCAGCCCTGTTGGCTAACCCGGGCTCTGGCATGGCCCCTGCCTTCCCACCCAGGTCCTAGAGCTGCCAGTTACGGACCCTGGTGCCCATCCATGTCATTTCCCGCATTCCACTCCATGCCACGTGGCACCTCCCATCCCATATGCCACCCTAGACCATGCACCTCGCCCAGTCTTCCCTTCCACCCGCCCTCGAGCACAGCTTGTCTGGGATGGGTGTGGGTATGTGAGGGGGGGCCTGAGTTGGTACCTCCCTCCTAGGACACAGAATGCACCAGATTATGGGGGCACCGGGCGAAGGGAGCTGAGAGCTGGGAGAGACCAAGAGGGGCTTCAGGAGGGAGATGGCTTGGGAGCTGGGTGGGCAGCAATGACGGAGCAGGGGAGCGGGGACACGGTATCTGGAAGGACCAGGGTGAATGAACTTGTGCCCAGGAGAACCTGGGGCCTGTCCAAGAAACTGGGAAGCCGTCATGGGGGAGGGGAGGTGGGAGAATTGGAGGAGACTGAAAATGAAAGAAAGAAGGGCGGACTGTGGGGGCCCTGCCCTTAGAAGGTACTCGAAGGCTGTGCTAGAACTGAACAGACAAGTAAAGAGCAAACCAAGCGATGACCTGAATTAATGAATGAAAGGAAGATGAATAACAATGTCTATTGAGCACTTACGTGCTGGGTCTATCACTAACTGCTTTGCATGTATCATCGCCTTTTCTTTCCTACGTGTTTCCATTTTAGTCCCATTTGTAGATGAGGGACAGTTGGCAATGTCATCAGCTGCTTAGTGGTGGGACTGGGGCCAAGCCTGGGTCATGTGAGTTCAGAGGTGGTGCTCCTCACCCCTGGCAGATGAATGAGTCCTGCAGGGATGGATGAGGGCGTGGATGGGGCATGGTCAGGGAAGACTCCCTGGAGGAAGTGGCCTTTGAACTAGACTTTGAAAGATGCATGGACTTTGGCTGGACAGAGCTGTGCATGAGTCAGTGGTGTTCCCTGTCCACAGCTCTAGGGACTGACTTGAGCTCAGGAGAGATGTGATGAAAGTGAAAGTAGCAGCAATCATACAGTTTCTGTTTAGTCCCTATGGCGAGGCCATAGGTACTAGAAGTTTTCCTTCTACAAATGAATAGCTAAGGAGAGGGGAAGTGAGCCAGCTAATAGGTGGTCAATTTGAACCCAGGGCATCAGATCCCACATACGTGCTCTTAACAGCCACATTATATTACTGCAGCCCCTCTGCGGCAGCCCGCGTGGAGGGGGCCTGCGTGGGGTAGGGAGACTTGAGTGGGCTCCCATGGGTGTCCCAGCTCTGAAGCACCCAGTCCCCGGCCCGCAGGTTCTGTGCAAGGTCTCTGTAGCCACCTGCCACTTCGCCACCATGACCAACTTCAGCTGGCTGTTGGCAGAAGCTGTCTACTTGACCTGCCTCTTGGCCTCCACGTTGCCCAGCACCAGGAGAACCTTCTGGTGGCTGGTTCTCGCTAGCTGGGGTGAGTCCCAAGGGCTGGATTGGGGGGGCAGCGTGGGTGAGGTGGAGGGCTGCAAATGCCCAGGGAGCTCACACAAAGATCCCCTTAGCTCAGTGACAGTGACCAGAGAGGGGAAGGGATATTGGAAGCCCTACAGCAAGTTGTTGGAGGAGGTACCTCTGGGCTCTCGCCTGGTCCCACCTTCACTGTGTCCTTTGCGGTGGGCAGTGGTGGTGGGATGTGGGGGCAGGTCTTCAAGCCAAAGATGTAGACCCCTCCCTCGTGTCCCCTCTTACCCCACAGGGTTTCCCCTGCTCTTCACTGGCACATGGGTGGGTTGCAAGTTGGCCTTCGAGGATGCTGCGTGAGTTTGGGTGACCTCATTACACCCGTCCCAAGTCCCCAGGGGGCGTGGGCTGGACAGTCAGGCAAGGTGGCTGTTCTCCAGGCTGGGGAGGAGGAGCCCGGTCCTGCCTTCAGGGTCCCCCAGGCTGGGAGGGGTGGTAGATGTGGAGGCCGTCCATGGATGGCGCAGGAGGAATAGGAACCTGGGTGGGAAGGGGCCTCAGATTCTTAGGACTTTGGGGCTCAGGGAGAGTTGGGGGGAGGGGCTGGTGTTAGTGGGGGCCTCCTGGAACAGGGGGAGTGTTGGGGCCAGCAAGAAATCAGCAAGCAGACTGACTTTCCAGAAGCTTATCCATCTAGGTAGAGAGAATGGGTGAGCCCAGCATGGATGGGGGCACCCCTCTAAAAGGGACCCAATTCTCTGAAAGGCAAGATAGGCTGCATGGGAGGTGAGGAGGGGGAGGGGGAGGTTCCAGTGCCAGAGCCAGGAGCCAGGAGGCCAGGAGGTAGAGGGTGGGGAGAAGGGAGGTGCACGGGGTTACCACGGAAAAGGGCACCAGCCTCTGTCCTGGCCTGTCCTCTCCCTAGGTGCTGGGACCTGAACGACAGCTCCCCCTACTGGTGGATCATCAAAGGGCCCATCGTCTTCTCTGTTGGGGTCAGTCCCTGGGGCCAGTGCCCCTGCTTTATTCAGCCAACCTCCCTGGGTCCACTGAGGGTCCCTACATAGTAGGAAACACGACTCCAGGCTGTGAGGCCCCCTCTGGACCTCAATCCTATTGATAAAACCAGGAGGTGGTCTCGACCAGCGCCCAGGCCCCTTCTAGTTCAGAGCTCGGGCCCCTTCTAGGATGAATCTGGTGCTCTGGTTAGAGCTCATCTACTACTGCACTGAGAGGCTGGGTGTGCAGGGGTGGGGGGGACCTCTGCACCTGAAACCCACCACCTGCTCCCACAAGGAAACAGGGCGGCCAGGACTGCTTTGCATGGCCTTGGTAAATGTGCCCATTTTCCCAATTTCACAATGGTGCAAAATGAAGGCCAGAGCTTTGTGCCAGAGGAGCCCCTGGGAGCTACTGAATGCAGATGTCAAGGCCTGGCCTCCTACCCTTGGTCCCCGGATGGAAAGGGGAGGGGGACCCTGAGCCACTGCCCTCTGAAGTTGGCTCGTGGGGCCTCCCCGTCTCCAGGATACAGGTTCTAGAGCAATGATCTGTGCATTCATCCACCTGCACAGCCCTGTGTCTCAAGGACTTGGATTTTCTGGTTGCCAAAGAGCCCCACCACATTCCACCAGGGCCACCCCCTGACCCTTGCTTCCACCTTTCTGCACATCTATTTCCAGGTGAACTTTGGGCTTTTTCTCAATATTATTCGCATCCTGCTGAGGAAACTGGAGCCAGCTCAGGGCAGCCTCCACACCCAGTCTCAGTACTGGTAACGTGCACACATGTATTGGGGGATTCTGGGACATAACCGCAGCAGGAGTCAGTGTGGCTCTGTTTTATTCATGATCCTGACCCATGTTCCTCCCTGTGTTCCCAGAGCCCGAACAGATCTGGTCCCTGTCTTCCAGGAGATCATAGGATGGGAAGGATAGAGGCCCCAAACGTCCAGTTACCAGGCCAAATAGACTAATGAGCGTGGGGATCAATTTCTGTGAGAGCCTGCAGGGGGAGATCCTTTCTAGATAGGGGGTGGGGATGGGATATGGTCAGGGAAGACTTCCTGGAGGAAGTGGTCTTTGAACTGGACTTTGAAACATGCATAGACTTTGACTGGAGTAAACTGAGACGAGCATTTGGCACAGAGAATAGCAGGATCCTGAGGCCCAAAGTAAGGAAGTGCAGGGCGCATGTAGGGGGATGGAGTTTGCTGGGTAGAGTTGACATGCGGAGCTGGTGGAAAGTGGAGCAGGCGGGGGCAGGTGGGAGCTTGGGATTCTAGCCTTGGAGCATGAGGCTTCTCCTCTCTTGCAGGCGCCTCTCTAAGTCAACCCTTCTCCTCATCCCGCTGTTTGGAATCCACTACATCGTCTTCAACTTCCTGCCCGACAGCGCTGGCCTGGGCATCCGCCTCCCCCTGGAGCTGGGGCTGGGCTCCTTTCAGGTGAGCCCGCAGGCACTCCTTCCCTCGGAGTCCTTGGCCGGAGGAAAATGCTGCCACCACAGGCTTGATCGGCTTCATGGTAGAGTGAGGGCTGCTGGCTGGTTATTCTTCCTCCTGGCCCCTCATCTATTTATTCAACTATTTGTCCATTTTCCATCTGTCCATCTTCCTGTTCATTCAACTACGCTGTATCTACCTACCCACCCATCTACCCATCCATCCACCCATCCATCCACCCACTCATCCATCCATCCATCCATCCACCCACCCACCCACCTATCTATCCACCTACCCATCTACTCATCCATTGGTCCATCCATCCATCCATCCATCCATCCATCCATCCATCCATCCATCCATCCACTTATCTATCCACCTACACATCTATTCATCCATCCACCAATCCATTCATTCATCCATCCATCCACCAATCCATCCATTCATCCATCCATCCACAAATCCACAAATCCATCCATCCATCCATCCATCCATCCATCCATCCATCCATCCATCCATCCATCCACTCATCCATCCAATCTATTCAATATTTACTCAGCACCTATCATATGCCAGGCTCTGTGCTCAGTGCTGGGGGATGCACAGATAAAGAAAATCAGAGACATAAGACCAACCGTGCAGATGACAGGCTTGCTATAATGATTACATGAGACAATAGGCTGGCACATAGTAAGTGATGCAGCTACCTTCCCTTTGTCTCAAAGACCTGGCTCAAGCCACAGCCTGAGGGTGGGAGGTGGGGGGAAAGGTGGCAGAAACACCTTGAGGCCAGGCCAAGCTATTCTGATGGGGTCCTTTCTCTCTGGTCCCCAGGGCTTCATTGTTGCCACTCTGTATTGCTTCCTCAACCAAGAGGTATGTGACTCTGCAGCTATCCTTACTCATCGCCTTCCCTCCCACCCATCCCAGGGCCTCTATCGTCTGTTCATACTCTGTCAGTCCCAGCTCAGGCCAAACCCTGACTCCTGCGATCCTCTGTAGGAGCCTGTCCTGAGCTTCTGGATCAAGCTGGGCCTGAATGCTTCCTGTAAACATCTTTTACCCCTCCCTCCTCTGGGCTGGGCCACGTTTACTCTCCATTCTGCAAGGGGTGGGGAGGCCTTTTAGGATCAGAAGAGGGATCCAGGGGTGGCTCTGTGTTCCTAAAAATGAACAAAAAGGGAGAGTGGGAGAGGGAATAAGCCAGCCCCAGAAGAAAGAGCAAAGAGACAGAGGAACCGAGAAAGCCAGAGGTAGATAGATATACAGAGACCTAAGGAAAAAGAGTTGGGTGCAGAAACAGGGGGGACCAGGGACACTGAGAGCGAGCGAGAGGGAACATGGAAGAGAGACACACAAAGAGCAGCCCAAATAGGTGGACACGCACGGAGTAGACGGAATAGGTGGTGTGGATGCACATGTAGAAATAGGGAAAGGCGGCGGAGGAGCCAGTTAAAGCATCCCACCCGGAAGGCACCTCGCATGCTTTCCTTAGGACAGGCTTGCTTTGTGGGGAGAAGCCCGAGATCTGAGCCCGGTGCCCAGCCAGCCAGGCCCCGCGCTATGGGCTCCCTCTAGTGGCCATGGGTTTGTTGCGGGCTCTGCCTTCTGCTGGAGACCCGGGTGCATGTGCCTGTCCCCCAGCTCTGGGGCGCTGCTCTCCCCTCACCTGCTACATCTGACTGGCTCTCTCTCCTCTGATAGTCTTTGCTCACACCCCAGTCTAGCTGATGGGCCCTGGGGATGCAGGGAGAGGCAAGGAACAGCCCTGGCTGAGGCCGATGGGGCCTGAGAAAGGGGATTCCACAAAGAGTTGTAAAGGACTCTGTGCCAGGAAGCATTGTTGGGGACCAGGGAGTTACATACTTCTGGTGATGGGGAGCTCACTATCTCTATAGCTCTTTCTGTTGTCAGACAGCTCACCTGATGCTGGACAGAAACCTGTTTCCCTTTTGTCTCTCACCACAGCCTAATTCAGCTCTGTCAGGCAGGCCACAGCCTCAGGTCCCTCCACCCCGACAGCCCCTTGGAGATGTGAAGATACAGACATTTCCTCCTGCACCTCCCAGGCTATTTTTCTTTCAGTTGCTCTCAGTCTCCTCAACTGCAGATCCTCAGGCAAAGTGTGGGGTCCTCTCACCCTTTAGGTCGTGTCCTCTGGACAGGTTTCCCAGTGGCCACAGTTCAGCTCAGTGGGCCACAGAAGGGCTGAACCCCAGAGCAGGGGATAATCTAAGCTATTCAGGGAGGACAGAATAGTTATCTGGCCAGAAACTCAAGAAAACACCCAGAAATGTCTTTATCTGGGCCCAGACAAAGGCAGTGCTAAAACATAGAGAAAGGAGCTAAAGGGAATGGCCAGAAATATATACAGGAAGGAGGAAGTAGTATCCTTCAGAGGCAGTACTTAGCAGAGGCTGTGGCAAACCATGGCTTCTGCTGCCCCAGGCACCTCTGTCCGTTTCTCTTGCATGGTCTCTCCCCACACTCTCAGGCCCCTGGGACTGAGTAAAGAGTGGCAGCAGGACCTTTCTAACATTTCCCCCCTTGTCCCTGGAGGTGAGGACTGAGCTCTCACGGAGATGGCATGGCCACAACCCTGAGCTTCTGCCAGCCCGGAGGACTCACGCCAGGTGGACAGTGCCCTTCCGCTCAGGGACTAAGGTGCTGACATCTGTGTGCTAGGCCGGCTACATCCCCTGCCTGGAGTCTACGCCTGAACTTGGGCAGCTACAGATGGTCCACCACGTTCCAGAGGAGTGGGACCAAGGCCACCTGGGAGCCCGCAGTTCACACGGCCACCCAGGCTGGGCAGGGCAGCCTTTCTTCCCTGTCCTGTCCCTGACACTTCCCCTAGGTCCCCGCGTGTCTAATCCAGGTTCCCTGGTTCCTCTGTCTCTGTTCTTCTCATGTGCCTCTTCCCAGCGTCTGGGCCGTAGCTCGAGGCCAGAGGAGCCAATAAACTTGTAGATGAGTAGATCCCCATGTGAGTGGATGCCCCTGCCTCGCAGGTGAGGGATCGGCCGCCTCATTCAGATCTCTGGGGCACGGCGCACGCGTCGCTCCTCAGTCCATGCGACATCACCATCATTTATTTGCCTGTGCAGGGATCTCCTGTTTAATTTATTTTAACATGAATTCTCCTTTGTTTCCACCTCCACTCCCATTGCCCTCCTCCCACAGGCAAACATTCCAATGTGTTCAACGTGAATATTTGTGTTTCTTGTGAAATACGCAGTGTTTTCGCTCACACACATGCGGCCCGTTACGTGCCTGACACCCTGCTTAGGGCGCCTCTCCCCTTCGCGCTGGGTTTTAAGAGATCTCCCTGGTGCCGGGCGCTCATCCGGCCCCTTGATTTGCCAGCTGTCTGGTGCCACATGGTGCCACCTCCCATGTGTGACCTGCCCTGTGTCCCCCTCCCTCCAGGTGGATGCTCACAGGCCCCTTATGGGCCTGTGAGTAGACGCGCCCCGGTCATGGTTAGAGCTTTTCTTAGTGTGACAGGGCGACAGATTGCGCTGCAGATGCCTGCAGAGTCTCCGCTCCCTCCAGCAGCGCCGCTAACACTTGGCAGTACCCAGCGTTTTAACGTTTGCAAGTCAGACGGGTGTAAAGTGGCATCTCAGTTGTTTTCATTTGCATTTCTCTGGTGACTAGTGAGTGAGCGACTCTCCTTGGGCCTGTTAGCCTTTTGGGTTAATGCTTCTGGAAATGGCTTAGGTCCATCCATTTGTATATTTTCTTTTCGAGTGGAGCTGAGTCAGTTCTAGGTCTCTCTCTTATGTCATCTCCATTGTGTGCCTGATGCGGCCCCTGATGTCACACAGCGTCATGGTCCATCCCTTGCCCACCCTGTCCCTTGGCAGGAGGGAGGAAAATGAGGGAGATTTCAGGACAGAGAACTAGCAGAAATGGACGCTGAGGTCAGAACGAGGTCTCTCCCTTTCCTGGTCTGCGCAAAGCAGATCTCCCTGCACGCTTGGCCCCATTCCCTGGCCCCAGGAAGCCTTCCCTGCCATCCCCTCTGACGGACACCCTCCTGCCTAGTCATGGAGTCCTAGTGAAAAGAGGTGCAGCTGCAGGAAACCCAAGGTCACACTGGGGCCGTGCTGCCCGACAGCCCAGCACCTTCCTGGTCACACCAATGTCAAGGTGCACCCCAGGCTAAAAACCCTATCGTGCGTTCCTTCCTTCAGCCTCGGATCACGAGAGAAATTCATACTCATTGCGGGGCATTTGGGAGACAGAGAAGGGATTAAAAAAGAAAATAAAAATCATCCCCAACTTCATTACCCAGAGACAATTACCATTGATATTTTTGTATGTTTTCTGAAAACATTTTTTCTGTACATTTTTGAAACATCTGGGATCATATGATATTTATAAATTTGTGTCTTGTTTCTTATGCTTAAAAGTAACATACACAATTTAAAAATGCCCAATGAGTCCATAAAGAGATACTCGATATCATTAGTCATTGGGAAAACCACAGTCAATGACAAAACCGCAGTGAGATACCATTTCACACCTGCCAGGACGGCTGCAATGAGCAAATGGGCAAAAACAAGAGTTGATGAGGGTGTGGAGAAATCGGCGCTCTCATATGTTGCTGGTGGGAGTGTCGAAGGGTGCAGTTGCTCAAAAAGCCTGGCAGTGCCTCAAAAAGTCCACCAATGGGTTCCTGTAGGGCCCAGCAGACCCACTCCTTGGTGTGCAGGTAAAAGGACTGAACCCACGTGTCTATACAGAGACTTGCACATGAGTGTTTATAGCCGCATCATTCGTAATTGCCAAATGTCCATCGATTGGTGAATGGATGAACAAAATGAGGCATATCCACGCAGACTATTATTCTATAATAAAAGGAATGAAATACTGACACAGGGTGCAATATGGATGAGCCCCGGAAACAATTCGCTAAGTGAGAGAAGTTAGCCACAGAAGGCCACATAATGTGTGGTTCCATTTACGTGAAATGTCCAGAATAGGTAGATCCACAGAGATAGACGATAGATTAGAAGTTTCCAGCTGGTGGGAGGAGGGGGCAATGGGGGCTGATTGCTGACGGGTACCGGGCTTCTTTCAGGGGTGACGAAATGTTCTACAATTAGCTAGTGGTGATGGTTGCACGCTCTGCGAACGTGGTAAAACCACGGAGTCGTGCACTTTAAACAGGTGAAATTTATGACGTGGATTATATCTCACTAAAATTGTCACCAAAAAGAGTAAGTGGATGGCTGCTGCAGAGCACTTGCCAACCTTTGTTCTGCTGCGTAATTTGTGAAGTCTGTATATGTTTTTTATTTAGCTAATAATTATGCATCAAATCTATCGGTGGAGGTTGCTCCCAATTTTTTAAATAAATAGTCGTGATTAACTTTCTTGCATACAATTCTTCATGTGCATCTCAAAGAGATAAAAATTCTGAATGAACTCTGAGACCTACAAATTTTGAGCAGATGTCATTCGCATGATAAGTCTTTTAATTCCTGTTGGCAAATTGCCTCTGGGAAGAGCTGGCCCAGGTGTGTCGGATAAGCCACGTAAGGGAGCTGGTTTCTACATCGTTAGGATCATTAATGTCTGTCAGCCTGATAGGGGTGTTAGTGAGTAGTTAGCAGTCAGGGGTTAGTGTCAGTTGGTAGTTAGCGGTCAGTGTTCGCAGTGAGTTCGTGGTGGTGACCAGCAGTAGCAGTCCGCTCATGCGACTTGTCTGTCCCTTCCCTAGAGGCTTCATCTGTGGCTGGGAGTTGGCTCCTTGCTTCGTTCTGGTTCAACCGGAGCCTCCAATTCCTGCCCTTGTCTAGTTTCTTCCACTGAGGCTACAGTGAGGGTTCCGGGCCGGTCCCTTGACTGGCAAACCCCACCCTCCTCCAGGGGCCCAGCACGCCCCTGCGCGGCCGTAAGGAGTCAGTCAGTAGGTGACTTCCAGGACTCTTCAGCGGGACGTGGGACCGCGGGCAGCCGGGCCGTTGAGATGAGCAATGCTCAACTTCGCCACGAGGTGGCAGAACGACCCGGCCGAGGACCCTGGCGGGGCTGACCGGTGCTCCCTGGCTGAGGCCCAGGCCCTGGGCAGGGTTCTGAGCAGAGCAGGTCCCCCAGGGCCCCTGGCTCTGTGCAGGGAAAGCAGATTTCCCATCGCCCACTGCAGCCTCCTCCTGGGGCCTCCACTCAGGTCCTGGAAGGAATTTCCTACAGGGAATGAAGAAACTTCCCTCCCGTTGTGGCCAGCCTGTGTTCCTCTATGCTGCCGGGAGGAGGCAAGAACAAAAGCGAGGGGCCCGTTTCCTGTCCCTGGAGAGCCCCCAGAAATGTCAGGGAGATCCCCAGGGATGAGCCATAACCTGGGTGTGAATAAGAACAGGGATGTGGGCTCAGACTCTCTGGGTGGTGGAAGCTCAGAGGACAGGGTGTGGGTGAGGGCAGGAGCAACGGGGGAAGGCTTCCTGGAGGAGGGGACACGGGCTGGTTGTATAGACCCTAGAACCCCACCAGGCCAAGCGCCACCCTCTGCTGGGCAGGAAGCGGGAATATGGCAGATCTCAGCTCGGGGAGCACCGCTTGCAGGTAGGGTCTGGCAGGAAAGGATGGTGGGCGACACACCCAAGCTTTGCCTTTCCCGAGAATGCCCCTGGCCTTTCCTGCTGGGGCTCTGGGCTCTGCTGGGCCACCCATTCATTCACTTACTAAGTAGTTCCTAAGTCGTTGCTAGAGCCTAGAAACACAGCTGCCGACAACTCCAGAACATTCGAACTCAAGAGGCTGAGGGTTTGGGAGAGAGCAACAGGTGGAAGCCAGCGCCAGGTGGAAGTGAGTTTTTGGCAGGCGTGGTGGTGAATGAGTTTGGCCTTTCGGGACCACCGCGTGGCGTGTCTGGTGTTCCGTCCTCAGTGTTGCTGGTGTGAACAGCTGCGTCTGCCACCTAAAGCGGTCAGTGGGAAATTCTCCACAGGGGTCTCCTGGTGCGGGGTGGGCGCCCCTCCCGCTGCGCTCCTGGGGACAGGTGAGCTCCCTCAAGTCCCCCGTACTCGGTGCTTCTGCCTAAGGCTGGGAGGGGCCTGCTGCTGCGGCTGGGAGCCCTGCCTCACTTCCTCCCCACCCTGGCTGCTGTCCGCTG